TCTCTCTGACCCTCCCCTGCTCACACTGTCTGTCTGTCTCTCTCTCTTTCAGTCTCTCTCTCAGAAATAAATAAAAACATTAAAAAAAAAAAGTGGTATTTGCATAAAACATGAATTGGACCAGTGTGGTGTCCACAACTCTCATCATCTCATTGGCTTTCCCCAGTTGCTGACCTTGGTCCCCATTCTCAATGCTGCTGACCTAGTTTCTCCTTGTAGAATCCAGATAGTTGATGCTATCATGCTTTTTGAAACCTATATGATAACTCTGTTTCTACATAGTATCCAGAGTTTTAAGATAACCAGACTAATATTAGGTAGACAATAATAGTAACCACCCAGGATCCTCAGCAGTTAGAAGGTCTGCTATGGGAGAGCATGATCTTCCCATCAGAGATAGCATTCAAGGTGAGGCTGGGCAGGTACCAGACAAGCCTCCTAAGGACCCAACTAATATCTCTGGAAGTCTGCTGTTGGGGGTGTGCCAGAAAAAAACCACCCACTGTTCTAGACAAGAAAACCCTTGAGAATCTAGATTATGATCATCATGTTCTTAAATAGGATTTCCTGTGAGATGATGAACAACAGAAGAATATGGTACACTCTTCCATATGCCAGTCAGTCCAGAGAAACAGACATGTAAGACTTCCTGCTCTAAGAATTCAAAATCACAACAGCAACAAATAATAATTCATTTTATTACAGGCGTCTAAAGAGTATTTGGAGCTTTTCAAAGCACTCTGATGTAAATTATCACATATGCACCCCACACCCGTATCTTAGAAAGGATAGCAGATGATTAAAGAGAGCAAAAGAACAAAACGATGAATGAAAAAAATATGAATGGGGCATCTCAAGGGAATAGCATGAAGAAAGAAAATTAGACTGCTTTCACTAGTACTAAGGAGCCCCTTTGATTCTAAAATGCAGGTGTAATCAGGTAGTTCTCAGGGAAGATGAAGAGGTACCTGCTGGTCTCTCCTGGGCTCCAGGCTTCCATATGCCATCACCTGCTATGCATCTTTATCTCAAACACAACATATTCAAACCTCAACTCATTCTCTTGTCTTTAACCCATCTATTTTGTCTTGCATCTCACATAACAGTCCCACCACTCACCTCCCAGCCATCCAAACCAGAAGCCATGGCGTATCGTCTTTGGCCCTCTTCTCTCACCCCTACATTCCCTGTCTGATAGTCTGTCCAGGTTCTGGCATCACTGGCTAAGAGTCTCACTCTGAACTCAAGATTAATGGGCTAGGATGGTGCTCTGTAGCCAAACTCTTGAAAATGTCCACCCATAAAGGTGAGACCCCGCTTCTGATTCACCAAGGATATATCTGGCTAGTGGCCTGTCAGACCTAGCAGAACCTGCATACATCCACACTTACCCTTGCTGAACTGCCTCCCAGGTGCCTTCCTGAGCTACACTCATGTTTGTAGCCTAAGCTCCTGCTTTAAGCCTCTGCCACCAATGCCTAGAACCGAGTTTGGCACAGGGAAGGGGCTCAGTAGATGTTTGAGGAAAGGTCTACAGCCACAGTGGACTAGACCATAAAGCTGTTCTCCATAGTTGCCAGTCTCCCTACCACCCAAGTCCACCCTCAAGAGGACACCTAGAGATGAAACTCCATCAAACCATGTGATGGGGAGTTCCTTGATCCAAGAGACTTAGCTGTAAGCACTGAACTGGTTTGCGATCTTGGGCTGATGATTCTGTGCCTTAGCTTTCCTCCCATCTACTCTCAGAGCTGCCTCAAGGATCAAGCAAGAAAATGGCCACACCACCAAAGGGGCATCTTGGTGTGGCACAGCTTATCAGTGATTCCTCAATGAGGGTATGCCTCAGCATTGCCCAGAGGGCTCCTGAAAGCATAGGTTTCTGGGCTCCACTCCCAGAATTTCTGAATCATTAGGTCAGGGTTGAGGCCTGAGAATTTGCATTTCTAACAAGTTCCCAAGTGAGGCTGATGCTGCTGGTCCACGGACTATATTCTGTGAACTAGTGCTCCAGACCATTTTAAAAGCACTGCCTTTCCCCACCAATCTGGTTTTTCTCCGTGAAGTAAGCTATTTCAACATTCAACTTTATGTTTATGTTTTACCCTTTTTGCTGTTTTCCTGGAATCTTAACAGAGTCTGTAAATTCCTCTGGGCAGAAATTATACCTTCCTCACTCCACATTCTTTCATTTTCTGTTTTGAAAAATAATGAGTACATTTCCAGTGTGATTAATAATAGAAAAAGGAAGGGGGGGAGACCCACATTACCAACCCCAATAAACAGCATCCACAAATGGATACCAGCCCTGGAATCCTCTTAAAAGTTAATTATGAGGCAAAGAATATTCTACCATCAGTGGCAACGTGGGAAAGAAGATTATGTTCTTGATGACAAATTTTGTAAAATGTGGGTTATTCAAGATTCTAGCTGTAACTTACTTAAACACCAGCATTTTTTGAAAAATAAAACCACAAACAGCATTTCAACTCATAATTTTTACAGTGATAGTCAGACAATTGTGTTTTCAACATGTAAAATCCATTATGCAGTCGTGGCAACAGTTTGCAATAGATTGTAAATTTTTATTGAGATGATCATCTTCCGATTGAATTTCAAAATGTATTATATGATCATCAGCAAATACGTCCATGGGGGCTGCTAAAGGACTTTGAGTATCATTTATAAAGATCAAAAACCCTAGAAACTCTTAGATTTACCCTGTGGAAAAAGAAAAGTCTCATTGGTAGGATCAAATCAATTACTTTTATGGAAGAATATTGAATTGCAAAGCTGAGATATGGTATTACCTGGTTTAATAACATAATCTTATGTCCTTTTAAAGTAGTAGGCTTCATAATCAGATTTCAATAAGGAATTTTACGAAAGGGCTGTTTTTGAAAATAATCAAGAAAATGGCATTTCCATTTACCATAATGGTTCAACAACATGCAAAGGAGTATTGCCAAGCAATGGGCATCCTCACTAACCTGAGCTTATATGCCATCCAGATGCACTACTGAGGTACTTAAGAATGATTACAGTCAGTTCTGCTACACCTCAAATGTGTTCCAACATGATTGACATATTAGGGGACAATCTGAGCGTAGCACGAATGTCACATTTGCTATGTGTGATTTTGCATGTGGAAACATTACAGAAGAAGAAAACTGCACCCAGCTCCACTGAGCCATGCAGGGGTACAAAGAACATACCCCCCCTCAAACATCGACCTGCTACTTCTGTTCACAGCATGTGCTCTGAGCCCCAGGCATCCACAGCTGGTGTCACGACTTTCCATCACGTTCAGAAAGCCCTCTTCACCACTGTCGCAGCTCACAGGCTGCAACCTTTCTGACACCCTCTTCAAAAGCAAACCTGGGGTCTTTGCAAGGAAACACACCATGTGTACTGCAGCGTTTATGCATCTCCTAAGCCACTGACAGGTATGAACTGTGCCACCAGTTTTACTATTTTCCTCCCTTTTGTTAAAGTGTCAGTGATGAGGAATGAGTGAAGTATCCTAATCCCCTATAACCCTGATGGTTTTTATTGCATAACTTTCCATACTGTAGTGATTTTTAGGGACACATATGTCGCATTATAGAACTGATTGTAGTTTGCTTTGCTTTTTTGTTCCATGGGCATCGCTGTGCGGATGGGTCCTTCTCTCCCCACCTGGAACCTGCCAATGACTCTTTTTCTCTTGGAATCCAATGGCTCACGCTGCTGCTTCCCTGGTCCCCGGTGGAAGAACCGCAGCACTGTATTCTCTATGTTTTCATCATGGGGTGACCAATGATCAATGGCATTCGAGTCAGAAAAACCTGAGTTCAAATCCTGACTGTGCCACTGGTTGACTCTATGACTCTGGATAAAAGGTTTTAAAATATGGAGTCTCTATCGCTTCATGTATATGTGCATAAAAGTACTTACATCAAATGGTTACTTAAAGGGAAAAAATGAGATAATATAAATAATGTGACTTGAAGGGGGAAAAAACCACACTGAGTTCTTTTAACTTCTTGAGTTACACTCAGAGCTGAAACAGCTCAGGGATACAATGAGAGATATAATCCTAGCCAATGCCCCTTATCAGAAATACCACAGAAGCCTGGAGTTCCCAGGGACAGCATATAGTTGGTTCAAAAGTACCCTCTCAGACACAGTCCCAGCCACCAAACTCTTAAACAGCAACTAAAAACTTCAGAGAAACTGGGGGAGTCACAACCACCCCCCTGCCCCCGGGTACACTGAGCCAAGAGCTTGGAGGGATACAGAATCCAGAGGACCCATGAAGGGACAGTCCCAACCCAGAATCTTAGGTTGGAACCAGGAGGCCCTGAGGGATACAGAGCCAGAAAGCTCTAAGGGATTAAAGCAGTTCCAGAATCCACTGAGAGGCACTTTCAGGACCAGGAGGTACTGAAGATAAAGTTGGCACCAGGAACTTTTCAGAGACAGAAATAGAACCAAGAACCCTCCGGCAAACTGTCAAAACTAAGATCTCATTAGGGTCACAGGTCCAGGCAAGGAATCCTTAGGGGCAAAGTTAATATCACAAGCACCTGAGATGTAGTCCAAACGAGGACATTACAAGGCACAGAGTGAGAGCCAGGAGCCCTCAGGGAAACAGGACCAGGAGCCCTCAGAGACACCTCCAGGACTAGGAAGCCTCGGACATACAGGGGCACCAGGAATCCCTAGAGGCACAGAACGAGTGTCCCATCAGAAACACTGTCAGAACCAGGAACTCTCCATGACACGGCTGGAGTCAGGCGGCTCTACGAATTAGTCAGAGCCAGGTAGTCTTCACAGTTGTCACCAAGAGAAGGAGGGCCTCTAAGACAAGACCAAAGCCCTGACTGCTGCCTTCCCCAACAGGAAGCACACTCACTCATCAAAGACGTCTAGGAATGACTGTCACAGAGCACCAAGAGGAGGATCGCTCAGGGCCACTGCCCCACCTCTCAAAACAGAGTCAAGAAGGAAGCTCTTACCTGCACACTTGGTTCTAGTGGTGAGCGGGGGCCCTGGCGGCCCTGTGCCTCCCTCCCCCGGTCGTGTGAGCAGCACTCGGATCTCATACTCCACGTCAGGGTCCAGATGCCACAGCTTATAGTTGGGAGAGTCAACTATGTGGGTCTCAGCCCAGGTGCCCGTGGTGGTGCGGTACTCCACTTCCTTCAGGATGATGGGGCCATCCCCGATGATAGAGTTGGCATTTGGCTTGATCCACAGGTAGGTGGCCCCTACGGCCAGCAGCTCTGGGGGGGCGATGGGTGTGGGAGGCTCTGAAAGACAAGCAGTCAGCATAAGATGTCAGACCCAAGTGGTTTATAGAAAAGAATCCAAGCATATAAGGACAAGAACAGAATTCCAGAGAGCGCCAGCCACAGAGAGTAGCCTGTATCCTTTTCATGACTCCATTCACATCCTACCTTGATTTCTACGATTTTGCATGTAAATACCCGAATTGGTATTTCTTCTACCACACGACTATTATCTCCTTCATTTAAATAAAGAAGGTAATTATGAGTAACTGATTTTTCTAGAACACAGCAAAGCTGCCTGGGTTAATATTCTGCTTTCTGTCCTCAAATGAGAACTTGCCTTTACTGAAGTGGAATTTGGTTCAAAACCCAGGGGAGTCTGAGGTTTATAACTATTTCTTTCATAGCAACACATGGATTGCCAGTGGAAGTTCCCCCCAAATAGTGCTATGAGCTGAAGTAGCAAAAGGATTATGGCAAAGGAAAAACTCCGCTTCTTTTCAACTCCAGCGGGCTCCCTCCAGCAAGGAGAATGTCACTGGCATGGTGCCTGCTGTAGGAATCAAGGGTCAAGGGAAAAGTCAAGGCAGAATCATCTTGCATCTGGTATGAGTTGTTCCTCTTCCACTAAGTTCTATTTCTTCAGTTAAATAAACTAGAATTTCAACAAGCACTTAAGAAAGGCCTTTCTAGCAATTCTTAGCCCATTGGCATAGCTGTAGAAATTAACATTAACTTTGTATTTCTTATTTACCAAGAAATCACATATGAACTACTTTGGGCAAATCTTGGGACATTATCACCTCCATTTTAATGGATTAGAAATAAACAAAAATCCAAGTGACTGGGTCACCTAACCAAGATCATGAAGCAGGTAAGGTAGGAGGGAACCCACATCTTTATGCCTTCCCAGACCAGCTATTTCTTTGGAAAGTTGCCTCTAGATATCCATTTGCTAAAACTCAAAGTGGTTATGTTTGTTATGTTTATTTGTAGCAAAAAACTGCAGTGGCAAAACAGTAGAGAAAATAACAATAAATAGAAAATAAGTCCCCTTACCTACCACTCAATATAATAGCCATTTTTATTTCTCTATGTTCCATTACAATTTCTATTCATATTTTTAAGCCTTTTTCATTCATACGGCTACAGTAACACAAAGACCCAATGTTCTTCTTCCCTCACTTCTTACACTCTAAAGACTTTGTTTACAACATGGATCTTGCCATCACTGTCTTTAATAGCTACAAAGCAATCTACCAGGTAATCACACTAATTTCCATTTCTTAGGCAGATGAGTTGTGCCAAGTTTTGCTATAGTAAATAATGCTGTAATGAACATCTTTGTGCAAATGACTCCAGTTTTTCTTGTCTCATATTTTCTTGGAACCAACTGCCAGAAATGGGATCTGTCAATGAATACGAACAAGTTAACGATTCTTGGAGTAGAATTAGGAAGCGGAGGGTCGTTGGGGAGGGGGGAGCATCTGGGAGTAGAGTATAACACAGATGTTATCAAGAACTTTTGGAGGGCCTCTGGGCTATTCAGGTGGGTAAGGCAGGTAGAGGTTTCCATTTGGAACTCAGGTGAGAGCTTCAGGATACATCAGACTCATTCAATGTTTGCTTTCTAATTAATTACCTATCCATAAAGATTCTCCAGAGACAGAATAATTGCTATGAAACAGAGGTGGACAATATTTTCTCAGTGTGATTTGAAGCAAATCTTAAGGGACAACTTCAGATTGCCTCTATTATAGCCTGCCATTTGGTCAGAGAAGGAAATTAAGCAGATTAGTCAAGCTAGATGCTTTTCTTTACAAAGCCATGAAGGTTATTACTCAAGGCCTTGTTATCTCAAAGGTGTTTGCAAATTGATTTTTTGATAATTTGTTCCAGGTAGAGAAGTAAAGTTGGCAGGCAGATAATTTCTGAGCTCATCCTTTGTGCATTTTAAATATATAGACCTTTTGATCACCATTGTCAACTCTCCAGAGTCCCTATCAATCTCCAGTGAGACCCCAAGGGTGATATTTTGTAGCTCTGTGATAACTCTGCTCAACTCCTTAATATAATCATTCAGAGACTGGCCCTGGACAGAATTAAGAGGAGCAGACTTCAATACTTTGGGGCTTGAGCCAATCGACTTTCCTCCATGGTTTTTGCTCTGTTTCAGGCATTAGCAGTAAATTGCTAACCACCCAAAAGAAAATCAAGTATCAATCTTTCCAAATGTTTAGTCTCTTTTCACATATTTCTGATGGTACGTACAATATAGTAACAAACTTTCCCTCGAGTAAATAGATGTCTCCATTTCAAATGACTTAATAGTGCACATGTCCCTCTGCAGACAAGCCAATACAATTATCTCTCCCTCTGTCCCCTCGAAAAAATCATGAAGTATATCACAGTGCTTCCTGTACCTGGTTCTAAACAGTCATCAGATTATTTTATTTTCTCTTTTGTTAGTAATCCAATTATAATTGAGGTTCTTTTTTAAAATTTAAATGCAAGTTAGTTAACATATAGTTTAGTAATGGTTTCAGGAGGTTTTAGTGATTCATCACTTACATATAAAACCCAGTGCTCATCCCAAAAAGCACTCTCCTTAATGCCTATCATCCATTTAGCCCATCCCCCATGCACCTCCCCTCCAGCAACCTTCAGTTTGTTCTCTGTATTTAAGAGTCTCTTACGGTTTGCCTCCCTGTTTTTATCTTATTTTTCCTTCCCTTCCCCTATATTCATCTGTTTTGTTTCTTGAATTCCACATATGAGTGAAGCCCTATGATATCTTTCTTTGTCTGACTTATTTCACTTAGCATAATACACTCTAGTTCCATCCATGTTGTTGCAAATGGCAAGATTTCATTCTTTTTGATCACTGAGTAATATTCCAGTGTGTGTGTGTGTGTGTGTGTGTGTACACATCTTCTTTATCCATTCATCAATCAATGGACATTTGGGCTCTTTCCATACTTTGACTACTGTCGATGCTGCTGCTATAAACATTGGGATGCATATGCCCCTTCGAATCAGCATTTTTGTATCCTTTGGATAAATATGTAGTAGTGCAATTGCAGGGTCGTGGGGGTAGTTCTACTTTTAATTTTCTGAGGAACCTCCATATTGTTTTCCAGAGTGGCTGCACCAGTTTGCATTCCCACCAGCAGGGCAAAAGCATTCCCCTTTCTCTGCATCCTCACCAACATCTGTTGTTAATGTTAGCCATTCTGACAGGTGTAAGGTGGTATCTGGTTGTGGTTTTGATTTGTATTTCCCTGATGATGAGTGATGGTGAGTATCTTTTCATGTGTGTTAGCCATATGGAGGTCTTTTTCGGAAAAGTGTCTGTTCGTGACTCCTGCTCATTTCTTCACTGGATTATTTGTTTTTGGGTGTTGACTTTGATTAGTTCTTTATAAATTTTGGATTATTTATAAGTCACACATATGAGTGGTTCAAAGAGAAGTAGGGAGGAGACACATAATTTTGGGGGGGGGTAAGAAAGCACCTTCTTTTTTTAAAAGAACAGAAAGACCATGTTTGCCAGTTATCTCTGAGACAAACCATTCAAGCACACAATGCAGTAAATCTGAGGCCATCTAACCCAACAACTAGAGTCATCAGAAAGGAAAGCAAGGCCCGGGAGGGCTCATGGCCTGTTTACTAGAAGGTGGGGGTGGAGAATGATAACTTCGACCCTAGCAACATTCCCACTCCTCTCTTTTCCTTCTTGTACTTCAGATGTTTAAGTAATTCACCAGAAGGATCCTTCAAGGGAGTCTATACAAGTAGTTTTTAACTTTTGAGGACACATAGGCCCTTGCAAAGATCTAGTGAGAAATTTCAGACTCTCTTCCCAGGAAAATGCACACAAGCCCACCATTTCAGGAATTCATGAACACTTCTGAAGCCTATACATGAGCCCCTGAAGAGGCTCTGCTGAGAATAAAGGAAAAGCACAGAGATCCTGCTGATGGACCACATGCTCATAATAGTTTATACTCCTTTGAGACCCTGAAGCCACCCTTTGTTGCAGGGGCTAGAAACTGGGAGTACAATCAGTAAGGAAATGGAACTTGATGTAAAGTTCACAGATCTAGTGCTTCCAGGCTACCAGGGCCCCAAACATCTGGGTGAAAATAAACATTCTAAGATTTCCACCAGATAATGTGACATAAACATGTAAGTCCCTCATGGCCATGACCTGACCAACACATTCATAGATTTAACATTTGGGCTAAAATATGTTATGGATAAAGACATGACCCTACCCATGAGATGCTATATCCTAAGTAGAAATCTTCTACAAAGGCTGTGTTAGTAGTCTGGGTTGCTATTACAAAATATCAAAGGCTGGGTGGCTTAAACAACAGACCTTTATTTCCTATAGTTCTGTAGGCTAGGAAGACCAAGGTCAAGGTGCCAGATAACTCAGTTCATGGTGGGAACCCTCTTCTTGGTTTGCAGACTATCTCCTTGTTATGTCCTCCCATGGCGGGGGAGGGAGAGAGGGAGAGAGAGGGAGAGAGAGGGAGAGAGAGGGAGAGAGAGGGAGAGAGAGGGAGAGAGAGAGAGAGAGATCAATTGATCGATCTCTGGTCTCTTCCTCCTCTTATAAGGGCCTTATCCCATAATGGGAGCTCTACCTACATGACTTCATCTAAATCTAATTACCTCCCAAAGGCTCCCACCTTCTTAATACCATAACATCCAGGGTTAGGACTTCAACATATGAATTTGGAAAGGGCAGGGGGCACACAATGATGCATTCCATAAGAGGCTTTGTTTTTAAATTCATCCTTCTCTTCTTGAAGGGCTTTATCTGTCATGGTCGTGAGATGAACAACCTTACAGAACTCTCTGTGAAAGAAACCCCAACCAGTATGTACCCTCTGCTTCTCATCTGCAAGAGCACTGAACATATGTATTTTAGTGGTAGAGAGAAATGCAGGATCTCCAGACCCATGGAATGAGAGCATAAGGCAGTCAATTAAAGCATCCATGTCAATAAAATG